GCTCTAAAAAACACATTTCCAAAGTTTAGACACTTAATCGTATTTTTTTATTTTTCTTGTATTTACAATGGTCTTTTTCGGTAGAAAAGTGGTGAAAATCGTGCTATACCCGGATGGAAATTATTATTTCGTAACTATGTACTTATGTAAATATTTATGTAATTATGCAGCCATAATTTGAGTTGCTGAGAGATAATTTGCTGCTTTGATTTATCAAAATAAATATACGAGTTGGGTAATTAATGCCCAATTGTCCTGGTAATTTATGAAAATTTATGGNAATACAAAAATTTGAACGTAACATTTTTTTTTGTTTTTTGAAAATACTCACATAGTGTTCATAGTGTTTCTCTGGTATCGTTTTGATAACAGCCGGCTGTATTTTGAGTGCAGGTTGCGTCTTTAGATATGTGTTAGGGCTGGCACTATGCGCAAGCAACGGTGAAACTGCAGGTGCATATCGATAGAGGCCAGCGCCTAATGGCCCAATGCCGCCAATTCCATGCGCATAGCCATTTAACAATTCACCTTGACCCTTTAGCAGTGGCAAACCCGCTGGCGCACCATATTTTAACGGTGACACATTTAAATTCGCACCAATGCCGTGTAGGGAGGATTGTGCCGCTCCGCCAAGTTTTAAAATCGGTGATAGGCCAGTGTGTCCCAAAGCTATCGCTCCATAATATGAACCGCCGTGTCCGAGAGGAATCGATGAATATCCAGCTATTAAATGCAAGAAGAAAATTAGTGACTTCTACTAATTGAAAATATTGCGCATACGTCTTAAAAAAACATATATGTAAATACAATAAGGAAAAGCAGGTTAGTAGAAATAAGGGTTAACTTGTTACTTTGCCAAATATTTTCCACTACGAAGCATGCCGACGAAGAAGATTGCAAACCAATGTGTAGAGTCGAAGCTGACTCGACTAAGGCGACGTGAACGAAGCGAAGCGTTTATGCGGCTTAAAAATAACATGGACCCTGGATCCGACGTAATACCGGTTGAGTTGTTCAAAGCCGGCGGTTAAGCACAATTTGACCCTAAGATTGGAATTTCAATCCACAAGATGGACGATTCTGCTGTTGCCGTCAATTTCTAAGTCTTCTAACAGGGCATATTGCATATTAATAATTTAGTTTAATTTTTGTTCCTTTTTTGGTTAAACTTTTTTAAATTTAATTTTCTTTAAATTTTTAAATTTTATTGTTTTAAAAAGAAAATAGTTTTTTATGTAATTTAACTTTTATAAATTTATTTGCTTTACTCTTTCTATTTTCAATTAAAATTTTTAAGTTAATTTTCTTAAAATTTTTTGTTGTTTTAAAAAGAAAAATTTATATTATTTTGATTTATTTTGGAACGACAAAGTACACTAAAGATGGCCCAACGCCAAACCCGGGTTGTCCCCAAACAAAACTTGACAATTAAAAAATTTTTGCGTATCAATTTTATTTTGTTCCTTATTTGGTTAACTTTTTTTCAGAAATAATTTTTCTTTTAATTTTTAGATTTTATTGTTTTTAAAAGAAAAATATATTTTTTGTGCAATTTAAGTTATAGAAACTTATTTGATTTAATTTTCTGTTTTTAAATTTATTTTTTTTATATTTAATTTTCTTTAAATTTGTAGCTTTTATTGTTTTAAAAAGAAAAGTATATAATTTTTGATTTATTTTTTAACGAAAAATTACACTGCACAACGCCGAAACCGGTTTGTCTCCAAACCAAATTTTACATGGAATGACGGAAATTCGTTAAAAAAAAATCGTCTTACAACCCTGTCGGAATAATTAACCAACAGCAACAAATATAATTTTTAATTCAATTTAATTTTTAGAAAACTTATTGCCAATAGCCAGAATTACGCTAAGACCTCCTCGTTAGCAGATCTTTTTTGAATTAGTCTTTAGAAAGAGAGAAAAGAGCTTTCAAGATAGTTGATAGCAAAGAGAATTGTCTTACGAAAGAGTTTTGTCTTTCGTTAAACTGTGGTGAGTTGAAAGAAAGTTGCCAGAATTGTCCTGCAAATATTGCATATAAGGTCCTAACGGCGATTCTGTACAAAAGACTAGACCTAGTAAATCTACTATTGATCAGATTTTTAACCGTGGAAAAGACACTCATCAACTTTTCATTTCTCATAGCTCGAAGAAAAACTGTCTTGAGGCAAAATTGAATTACAACTTTATAGCTCAGTAGAAATTGGTTTAATCATAGAATCATCAGTTGTAGAAGCTATCCGAAAATCTTAGAGCGGTGCTGTGCATCAGCTTGCCCGCGGGCATCCGGTTCCCACCACCGCCTTAGCGTAAACCTAAAAAGAAAAAGAAATTATGACCTTTGAGGACAGGAATATAGTCCCCAGCTTTGAATCACCAAGCAGAATGGTATAATCCCACGAATACCTAGCTGCTTTTTGGAAAGACGTGAGGTCTTAACTCAAAAGTTGTACCCTGGATGCATACTGGCGTCGTACGTTCGATCATATGAGATGGTACCCTGGCCGAGTTGGACTGCCGAACTTTAGATTATGGGACGTAAAACACTTTTGAATATAAGTTCGAAGTAGATTTATGTTTGGATCTCTAGTCACCGCACTATTTTACTGGATGCTGATGAATTAGCCAGTAAGGGTTCAATAGCAAGCTGAATTTGAGAAACTAGTAGCGACTTTTAGTAGACATTGACCGGCAGACAGCCGAACTAGAAGGCTGGGTATCGCCTATAATGAATGCAGAAGCTGCTGGAACGAAAACGAACTGGAAATAGGCGAGCAACTGCTTTTTAAATGTCTTGCCTTTATGAGGAGCTGGAATACCGTATTAGAAACAATTCAGTTAATTTTGTTTGCGAGATCTGTCGGATAAAAGCTGCCACAGCATATGCCGCTGTTATAACTCTCATTAAAAGCTATTTAGTCGCACAATTTCTTGCAGGGTATTTTCAGCTGAGCGACTACATATGCCTACACGGAAGTGTAGAAGCGTTATACTGGATTTCCACTGGGCACTAAATGACAACAATTTGAATGACAAAGTTCGGCATTAAAAATGAACGTGTCATTACGTTAGTAAAAAGGGTCTTAAGACTGTACCCTTACGGCAAATTTTAAATGGCACAAATTTGTTGTAATTCAACGGCCGGTGGAAATTCGGCATTATTAGTGGAAGGCTGTTGGAACAATAATAGCTGGTTTCACGAAAGCAATTTAATGGAAAAATTATTATTTTTTATTTGAATTTGATAATATGAAAACTGATGGAAGAGAAAAAAATATTTCTCACTTAACTTGCTAGAGAAACCGACAGTTAATATTACAACATTTATTTAAAAATTAATATTTAAGGCCTTGCCAATAAAGGTTAGACAATCAGTTCATGGAGTTTTAGTAATTCTTTCTTTATTTCTGTATCTTACAAAACTGTACATAGATGGGAAAAGCGCTAAATTAGGGGTTTGTCTTTTTTGCATGATAGCAATTGTTTTTCGTAAGTCGATTTAGGCACTTTTTTCCTTCACGCCACAAAAATATGAAGTGAGCAATTTACATGCAAGCTATTAAGGAACTTGAGGAAATATTAGAAAGAGGTTAGTTATTTTTTTCAAGGACAATTAATGGGTTATCAAATCTGGGTCATGGCCATCAATTAATCAGGTTTTAATAAGGATATTAGCCATGTATGCAGTTATATGTAAGAATATGTATTTTACTTGTCGTTAACGGCGCTGAAGCGGAATAGCTCAAACTTGATTTGCCCAAAGTGGAATGCGCCAAATTTTCTACTAAAGGAATTGGTTGTTGATGGAGGAGCGCTTCATTGGATACGTATTTACCCAAACCAATACTACCAGGTGCAGTATGGGCCGTATACGCACTGATACCGGATTTACCAGCTGAACTCGAGTATTGATGTGAGATCGCGCTGCCTGTTGATAACTTGGCCAAACCAACTGCACCAGCACCAGCAGAATGGATCGATGCTATGCCCGGCGAGGCATATGCGCCTACTTTTGCTATCGCAGGGCTAGATATGATGGGCGTAATAGCCGCCGGTGCTGAGTAGGGTGTTATTTTGCTCAGTGCAACAGCAGGTTTGGAGACGTATTGATGCGAAACAGAACCACTAGAACCACCATAACCAGTACTGGAGTGGATGGATGTTACACCTGGAAGTGGATAAGTCGTCGATTTCGTGATGCCGAGAGCAGGTGGTAGGTAAGCTTTGGGCGCGCCAATGACTGGCGTTGTTAGTGTAGCAGCTTGACTGGCAAAGAGCAGCGACTTTGATGGCGTCGAGACTTGTTGATGGGAAATGGCACCGCCGCTGGCATATTTTATAGACTCGCCGCTCGAAACTCCCAGGCCTGAGGTGTAATGTGTAACAGCAGGTGCTGCGTAAGCGGCCACTTTAGCCAGTGGAACTGAGGAATAGCCGACCGTTTGCAAAGGTTTGGACACATATTGATGCGAAACTGCGCCACCGCTTGCATATTTCACTGACTGAGATCCTGAATGTATGGACGCTAAGCCAGAGCCTGTAGAATATTGTGTGAGCAGAGGCTCTGCGGCAACTGGTGCGACAGCAGCGACTTTTGTTATGGTGGGGGTGGCATAAGCGAGCGGTTGTAGAGGTTTTGAAATCTGCTGATGTGAAATAGCGCCACTGCCATGAATAGATGAAACGGCGGAACCGGTGGCATAGCTGCCATGTTGTGATATCCCAAGGCCGGTGGAATATTGTGACACTGCGGGTGCGGCATATGTTGCCAACTTTGTAACTGCCGGGACTGCAACTGCTGGAACTTTTGCTATTGACGCAGGCGCATAACTAACTGGTTGTAAAGGTTTCGAAACATACTGGTGCGAGACTGCGCCACTACTGCCATATTTGATTGACTGTGCAGCGGCGTGTATAGACGCAGAGGCTGAAGGATACTGAGCTACGACTGGCGCCACAGCAGCCACTTTGGTAATCGCTGGAGCTGCATAAGCCAGAGGCTGAAGCGGTTTAGAAACGTATTGATGTGAAACAGCGCCGCCGCTG